ATTTTTCTTTTAAAATTTGGAGATCTTAGTTCAATCCTGCATAGGTTGTTTATTATTTGGATGGCTAAGGAATGAGAGGATTGCATTTGGTATTTGGATATGTGACCCACATAAAAATAAGCAATGTGTAGTGTCAATCCGTCTGTTTTTTGGTGTTGAAAGTGAAACTATAGAGCACTTTCTGTTTGCTTGTTCTTTTTGCATTGAACTGTGGGAAACTGTCTTAATGAAAACGGGACATTTTCATGGTCCATTAAGAATCATAATTGGCCATGCTTAAACATTCTTTAAACAAAATATGATATATTTTGGTATTTGTGTTGTGTTTTTTTGCAGATCTCTGGTATCTTGAGCACCTATATTATCAAAGCCGGGGTTTTCATGGTGGAAATTTATGGGGTTTTGTTTTATTGTTGTACGTGGGAATCTGATTTCTAGAGATGGGTAACTGCTGCTAAGGTGATAGAACAAATGAACCTGTATGCTCATTTCAGAATCTGTCTACAAACAAATAAACTGCGAATGAATGGGAATCTGATTCCTCTCATGTAATTCGGTGAGCGACGGATTGGTGACCATTGGTGCTGTTGCAGTAAATTCTTGCTCTCATCTCAAGCAACTTGTTATGGGAATTGGAGGGTATGCATGGATGGAGCTGCTGGTGGGATGCATCGTATGCACTGCTGGCTTTCATCAGGGCCGAAACAATCTCCTTCCATTTCACTAGTCCGAGTAAAACCAACAAGCATCACCGTTTGAACAATGCCATCAGACTGCAAAAACAGAACAAAAAACAGTTAAGCAAGAAGGAATTAATGTTTGTTTTAGGTGTGTCATTTTTTCCCCCTTGTTTTCACCTTTCTTTGGTTCTCTGTTTGGTGTATGGATTCCATATTTGTGTTATGGTTGGGAGGAAAAGTTTGATGAGTTGTCATCAAGGAGAGGTTTCCACAGAGTGAGGATGCCCAAAACCTTGGGTGAAGGATCTGAAGGTATCATTTCTTCCTCTGGAAGAGTATCTATACACCTCCAAGTTCCACCACGCACCACATAGGACTTCATTTCCCGATGTTCATGCTTTATTATAATGGTCCATTTTCAGCCTCAAGTTTCTCCACATGAGACTTCATTTGCTGAAATGCACGCTTTAACGGTCCATATTCAGCGCCAAATTTCTCCAAGTCGGACTTCATTTTCTGGCATTCATGATTTAATTGTCCATATTCAGTGCGAAGTTTCTCCAGATAGGACCTGGTTTGCTGTTTTGCTGGCTGGACATGCAGAGCACACTCAAAGAAAGAAGCAAATGAAAATTGATTGAAGATAGGAAAGTTAAGACTATAAGTCATATGGTCTAATGGTTGAGTTATATATACTTTTTAAGTAGAGGTCTAGAGTTCAATAGCAAATTGACATCTTTCCCCTGATTCAATCCTTGTATCTCTATTCATTCTGTCTTTTTCTAGCTAACTCATCTCCTGGAATAGTTTGACGAATCTCCAGTGAATGAGAATCCGGAGTAGATTCATGTTACCGCCTTTTTGCTGCTTGTGTCTGGTTGTTGCTCCATCAGCGCCTGCGGCTGCTTTCCAACGATCTATGGAAATTTTGCACACGGCCTTGATCTATGGAATTACTCACATCCGGTTTCCTTAAATGTAGCCGTATCAACTGCTGTATTCCACCTTGATTTACCGAACTCTGTAGAAATTCATCAGCATCTCCAGGCTGATCTAATTGTTGCTTGTCTGCAGTTTGATTCTCTGGGAAATTTTGCTCAATATTCATCGGACTTCAAAACAAAATTCGTAAAATTTCAGGGGTATTTGGCGCTAGAAAATAACAGGATTGAATGATATACATGAGATAATTTGTAAACAAAATCCAGGTAAGTCTCCATTACCTAGTTTCAAAAAAAAAAAAAAAAAAAATCAAAAATCCAGGTAAGTCCTTAATACTGTAACTTGCAATTCCACAGATTCGAAAAATTTTTAAATCTTGATTTTTATTCTTATTTTTAAGGTGAATCCAAATATTCGTTATTTCCAAATGCAAGAAACCATGCACATAATCTTCACTTTTTTTTCTTTTTTTCTACTTTTTTTTTTTTATAAAGAAAATAATATTACAACTGAAATATAGACACTTACAGCATTCCCGTTGGCAGTCTTGATCTCCATTTTTTTTTTATTCTCAAGCGTGAGACTAGGGATGGAAAGCTACCAATTAACTACTATAGCTAGTGGACTGGTAGTGGGGTCTTGGAGGACAAAGACTAATGTTATATTTAGAAGACATTTTGTTCGTGACCAGCAAACCATCGTTCGATAATCGGCCGACGTGTGCGACTTTAGGAGTAGTATAATTTTCAATTATTTGTCCCGGACCTCCACGACAACATCCGTGTAGAAATTCATAAAGATAAAATGATTTTATGTGGAAAAGTAGAGAGGGTATCGTTCGATTGTCGACTTGCTGATTAAGACCTGAAGTTGTCCTTTTCATCTTCATTTTCTTTAGGCAAAACCATAAGTTAAGCCCCTGAACTAACCCCAGAATCACTATTAAGCCCTCAGACTTTAATTGATGCATATAAGCCCTTAAACTCTACAGTAGAAGCAATTAAGCCCTTACTATCACAGCATCTTAAATGCTGTTAACTGCCGTTAATTACCGTTTGGGGACTGCCTATGGCCGATCTCATGCCTATGTGGCAAGGGATTTAACATTTGGTTTGCCCAATTA